ATGCAGTTTCATTATTATCAAATTTGTAGCCCACAGACCTGTTGTACTGTGATGTTCCGTAGCAACCATATGTACAATATGCAACAATAACACATATTCACCACTAATTAACTGCAATATGGTACACAAGTAGTTTGTGGTCAGCTTCTAAACATATTTGTATGATTTTTATTGTAATATTTGGCTGTGATACCTATCTATCTATCTATCTATCTATCTATCTATCTATCTATGTTTATGTGCCATTGCTTTTGCTGAAGAAACTGTTTTTATCATTTGTCATCATACACCATAATGTAAATAATACATAGACATAATTTAGAAGTGAGATCTGTTTTGTTATATTTCAATTGTTTCCATACGCATACGTTATAGTGATGCATTACTCAAGCCAACAAACAGAAAGAAAGAATTGTGTATTTAGGAGATTTCATTATGTTATGCTACCTTGGACCTGAGAATTGTCCGCAGTCACCAGCTGAGAGGCAGAGGGCCACATGACCCCTTATCCATAATTGTATGTGGCAGAGGAATGTAATGTTTAGAACATAAAGTGTGAAGCCGATTTGGGTGCTGAAAGGCTGTAACTGGCGGTTAAAAATTTTTAATATGGGGAATAAACGACAGTTTGCTGTCAAATGTAATACCTAAAAACTTTGTCTCTTTAACTACTTTGATCGGTGTAGTATTTAAGAACAATTCAGGACCCTTATGTATTTTCCTCTTTTTGCAGAAATGGAGACAACATGTCTTGTTCAGTGAAAACTTAAAACTATTCTCCTGAGACCACTTATGAATTTTGTTGAGACACATTTGCAGCTGTCTCTCAATAGTATGCATGTTAGTTCCGCGACAAGACACATTAAAGTCGTCAACAAACAAGGAACCATCAGTGTGTTCATTTAGCACTTTGGCTAGACTGTTGATCTTAATGCTAAACAAGGTGACTGAAAGAATACTCCCCTGTGGCACACCATTTCTGGATAAAAATTATCTGACAGAGTTGATCCCATATGAACCTGGAATCGTCTATTTGTCAAGGAATTGAGATATAAAAGCAGGCATGCGGCCCACGGAATCCCATAGTATAGAGGTCATTCAATATACCATACTTCCAAGTGGTATCATAGGCCTTCTCTAAATCAAAGAATATGGAAACTGCATGTTGTTTATTTACGAAGGCATTACGAACAAATGACTCAAGCCGAACAAGATGATCAACTGTACTTCTATGACGTCTGAATCCACATTGGATATCTGTTATTAGGTTATTAGATTCAAGATGCCAAACAAGTCTATTGTTAATCATTCTTTCCAACGTTTTACAAGGCTAGTCAAGGCAATTGGGCGGTAATTTGTTGGATTGGTAGTATCTTTGCCTGGCTTAGGAATAGGAATGATGATTGCTTTGTGCCAGGAATCTGGGAATGTACCTTGTTCCCATATATGATTAAATATACTAAGAAGCACTAACAACGATTTAATAGGGAGGTGCTTCAACAATTGGTAATGTATCTCATCCGGCCCAGTTGCAGTGTCATGGGATTTATCAAGAGCTGCAGAGAGCTCATCAAGAGAAAATGATCTCTGTCATATCCTCTAAAAGATGATCACGATCTCTAACAATGCCTTTACTTGAATTTAGAGACCTATGGGCAGAGACAGAAACAGGAAGTCCAGCCAATGTATCAGCAGATAGCAGGTTAGTTGATTGCTGTCTTCTAGCACATTCTATGAGAAGTGAACCAGATCTCATGCGTTTGATATTCTTGACATCGCCTGCTATTCCATACACTCCTTTTGAAATAGCAAACGGGTTGAGTTTAATTGGTTCTTTATCAGGAGACTCAACAACCAAAAACCTTGGCCAGTATTCAACTTGTTTCGGAGGTCGATGACTAGCAATGGTACTTGGATCATTGTCAAGCTGACGCTTTTTTTCAAAGGGGTTTCAAGATCCATGTTGGTATGTATAATGTTTCATCATCCCAGCTCCCCACCCTCCACGGAGTGTTAATAGACAGTGCTATAAACAAGTGGATCTCCGACTTGCAGCACCAAGGATACTGGGATGATATACTCAAGCAGAAAAATTAAACAAGTAATCATTCCACCAGATTGGCCCATGAGCCACCGCCTTCTGGGCATACGACTCTAGGCAGAGAACATACTTGTAAATAATACATTTGAAATTCAATGAGTACAACGTTGTGCCAAGACAAAAACAGATTCACAGAAACTGTTGAAATGTTGAAATAATTGAGAAATTTGTGCAATACAATTGATACACACAGGGCTCGGCATGACCAGCCAATTGATAGGACCGGGCCCATCCTACCACCCGTCTAGGCGAAGTAAGGGTCGAAGTGGTGTATTGGGCAAAGGAACGCTATTCCTGGAACCAGTGCCCTCAACCACCAGACTCCCGTCCTCCGCCGACAGGGACGCAACCCACGGCAAACAGGTTGCCCATTTTAGTCGCCTCATACGACCAGCAATGGGAGGCTGTGGAAATACTCTGCCCCGGTTCCACACGGGGGAAGAGCTATTAGCGTTACCCAGCACTCACAACGAGGAGGTTGCTCTTCACGAGTGCCTCAATTGAAAACAAGATTTTAGGAATCCTGTATAACAAGTTTAGTGTTGAAAACATAGACGATTCCGACTTGCAACTTGTTATTCATGCCAGAGAACTTATTTATGAACTGTTGCTGGATACTAGTAAATACTTTACGTCAGTGATTTTCTACAATGCAGTGATTAAGGGTGTGTTGGAATCAACAAACAGTGAAAGACAGTTATCTGATCGGGGCAAGAAACGCGCGCCATGAGCACGCACAGATATATGCGCTCTATACGTTGTAAATATAATTTATAATATACTTGGCAGTGAGAGAATGGGGATTCTCGATGACAGAAAAGTGATATGTCACTGCAACCATGATAAGGAGAACGACTGCCGTTCAAGTTTACAGTGCAGACCTGATAGAAATCAATTAGCAAAGTGTGTTTCAACTAGACTAGCAATGTGACGTATTGGTACTGAAGACAGATGGAAGATTTTAGATTCGCTGATTTACCTCAAATACACAACAACAAAATAAAAAATAAAAACACCCACATACCCTACTAAATAAATATAAAATAAATAAAACATTTCATTTCGCCAGTGACAAAAGGCTGATCTGATCTGTCGAGTGACAGATCCGCCATATCTCACTGTTTTAATAAGAGACATATATTTAATTATGGGGGAAATCGGACTCCAAAGCAGAAAATTGGCTATTAGTGTATTTTCCGGGTGGGAAATATAGTGTGCTTTCCGTGGGAAATTTGGCTATATAGCCCCTTTTCCAGGGGGAAATTTGGCTATATAACCCTTTTTCCGGGGGGAACAAGTCGAGCAATATGACGCCGGGCGTTGTCATGGTGAAAGGTAATGCCTGGGCCATGATGACGCAAAAACGGTAGAACAACAGGGCCGATGATCTCGTCGCGGTAGCGCTGTCAATTGAGATTTCCCTCTACTATCATCAAACGGGTCCTCTGTCTTGCTGTAATCCCAACCCATACCATAACGCTTCCGCCCCCGAACCGATCTTATTCCATGACACAATGATTGACATAACGTTCACCTCGACGTCGGTACACTCGAATCCGTCCATCGCTGTGGCTGAGGTGAAAACGAGACTCGTCAGTGAATAGAACTTGTCCCCACTGCATGGCAAAAACTACATGTCTACATTTCTGCAGAATATATAAGCTGCTTAAAGACCCTGTACTATTTTTAAATGGGCACTCCTATCAAAAAAGAGTTCTTGGGCCTTTTTTTCGACAGCCATCTAACTTTCTTACCGCATATAAAATATCTTAAAGCTAAATGTCTGAAGGCACTTGATTTATTGAAAGAAGTTTCAAATTCGAAGTGGGGAAGGGATCAGACAACCCTCTTACACTTGGATAGATCACTTATCCGTTCCACACTTGATTGCGGCTCCATCGTATATTGTTGAGCATGTAAAAGTATTTTTTTAAAACTGGATACTATTGCCTTGGAGCCTTCAGGACTTCTCCCATTCAAAATCTATATGTGGAAGCAGATGCGCCATCCCTTAAACAATGCCGTCTGACATTAGCCTAACAGTACGTCAGTAAATTATATTCAAATCAGTCAAATCCAGCATATTCCATCTTCTTTAAGAAGAGTTTTACACTAAGAAATCAACTCTAATTCCGCCACTTGGAATAAGAATCAAATCTGTCGTTTCCGCTGATAAAATTAACTTTCAGGATATTGCCCGCATTCAATTTTTATCATCACCTGTTGATGATAAGGTCAGCTGTCGACCTGACATAAACTAAACTTAGGAAATCAGACAAAAAAACACTAATTTATAAACAAGAATACAATCAATTTCGAAACACTTATGGCACTTATAAATCTATATTTGCAGATCGATCCAAGGATGGTTGCACAGTTGCTGGTGCCACTGTCATTGGATCCAGAACAATATCTTTACGATTGCCAACTAACAGTTCCATATTCACAGCAGAAGCAAACGTCATTTTAACAGCTCTAAAATATATCAAAAAACAATCTAAACATAAACAATTCATTATTTTTTTCTGATTCCCTTTCGTGCGTTCAAGCTATCAAAAATATGTCATGTAAACATCCTCGTTTAATCGAGATTCTTGAATTATTTAATAATCTTGCTACTAGCCATTATGACATCATCTTTTGTTGGTTACCAAGCCATGTTGGAATTGTTGGTAACACAATGGCCGATGCTGCTGCAAAAGCACAACCACAACGCAGTATTTCGAACGCACCTTTCCAAATCATGCTTTGTTGAAAACGTGCAAAACGTGATTTTGAGACATTGGTCCAGATGCACGTGCGTGATTGTGGCATAAATACCGACGTTGGACTCAGTAAGCAAAAAACCACCAAGAATATGCCCAGACTTACACAAGCACAACGAGACAGACCGATCGGTATGGCCAATGTGGGGGCTACTCAACGTCAGATAGCCAGAACCTTCAACTGCTCCCAGACCACCATCAGCAAGTTGATAATCCGCTACCAACAGACAGGACAGACTCAAGACCGGCCAAGATCGGGAAGACCGAGAGTGACAACACCGGCCGACGACCGCTACATCCGGCAGATTCACCTCCGAAACAGACCTGTGACGGAGATGTTAACGGCGGAGACAGCACTTGGGCATGCCATCAGCAGGCGAACAGTCCTTCGACGACTTCGTACGGCTGGTATACGAGCCTACCGACCCTTCCGTGGAATGGCCTTGACCCGTCTACACTGTCAACGCAGACTGCAATGGGCACGAACTGTACGTCAGTGGCAGCGACGTGACTGGGCGAGAGTGCTCTTTACAGATGAAAGTCGGTTCTGTCTGTTCAGCAACGATGGCAGAGTTCGAGTTGTTCGACGAAGGGGAGAGCGACTAGCGCCAAACTGCATTAAAGAAGTTTACCCGTTTTGAGGTGGATGCGTCATGGTATGGGGTGGCATTTGTGGCCAGATTACAACACGGTTGGTTATCATCCGAGGAAACCTGAATGCTCAGCGATACAGGGATGAAGTGTTGAGACCTGTTGTGGTGCCCTTTATTCAACATCAGCCAAGAGGATTAATTTTGCAACAAGACAACGCAAGGCCTCACACCGCCCGAATTGTTCAAGACTACCTGAACAACGTTAACGTCAACGTATTACCCTGGCCACCTAGTTCTCCAGACATGAACCCCATTGAACATCTCTGGGATCATCTTGATCGTCAGCTGAGACAACATGTACCGCCTCCAGCGAACCGACAGGAACTTGAACAGACTCTATTGAACTTATGGAACAGGATTCCTGATGACGTTATCCGCCGACTGACAACGTCAATGAGGAGGCGTGTGTTGGCGTGCATGGATGCCAAGGGTGGTCACACTCGCTATTGATGACGTGTTACCTGACTACTGTGTCAATAATGGACTCTTCATGCACTTTTTCAATGAACTCTGATTTGTGTAATTTTTTATTTCGACCCCTTGAATCTTTCTTTGTGTATTTCGGAGAATGCAACATCGGCATTACAATGCATTTTCATTCTAATTCATGGAAAATGACTTCTGTTTATAAATTAATCATCATAAATCTCACATATGCCTTTGTTTTTGGTGTTTGATCAAGTGAAGTCGGTGACCGGTAGTTTATTTACAAGTGATAAATATTTCAGTGCATCATCATTAATGGATCTTTTTAATAATGTTCTGTTTCATATTATAATATGCTTTTTAAAAGAATTGAACAGATTGATAATTTTTGAATCTGTGCACATACTAATCATTTTGCCATATCAGTAGTGTTTAACTTCTAACTGAGATTGTTAGTGGCTGTATCATCAAAGAGGGTTGAAGTACTATAAATTTATTGTCCCCCTGAGTGGGTGTGTAAGACCACGTCATTCGAAGTAAGTTTATTCCTAGTACCTGTTTTAGTCGTAGTGTACTTGTTTGTTTTAAGTTTGGCTAAACTTGATGATAATCACAAGCAGCTAAAGGATTGTGCAAATCCTGCTGGGGAACTGTGCAGGTAGCAGAAGTATAGTAATTCCCCACGGTTCCTTGGATGGTGGCCTACCTTTAGTCTCTGGCGATCACTATCCCGTTTTAAAATGTATTGTTATTTATCGTGATATCTTTTTATGGTTCCATACTAGTTTTGAAATATACATCTGTGATAATATAGTTATTTTACTGTTCTTTGACGACGGGTTTTATAATCAAATTGTACATATTATTACTGTCTAACTTGATTTAGTCACGATATGGCTGAAATATTGCCAATGTGACTATACATCTGTGATACTCTAGCTATTTACCTGTTCTTTGACGACGGGTTTTATAATCAAATTGTACATATTATTACTGTCAAACGATTTTGTCACGATATGGCTAAAATATTGCAGATGTGACAATAAATATTCACCCACTCACTCACTCCTTGGAAATCTGTTCTTCACTGACAGATGAATAGAGTGCATGTTTGTAAGGAAGTTTGATGTCATATAATGTCTCAAAACTGCCAAGGTGTTCATAGCAGAAAGGTGATGTTTGTGTCAACTTATCTGATTGATCAGAAAGAAATATCTCTTAGGTGTTCAAAACATGGTGTTCATGTTCAACCAGATTCTTCAGAAAGGTAGAAATAACTTAATTCAATTAACATAAGGTTATCAATACTAAACATCAAGAACTACAAATTGCAGTGTGGAATACGTTTCATGTTTCTACCTAAACCAATCCGTCACTTTGTAAGTTTAAATGATTGTCGTTACGCACAGCAGATTCAGCATTCAGTGATTCATTACAACATGTCGTTGTGTTTTCTATCTCTGGTACTGGATTTGGAAGACTATTCACAACTTCGTCATAATTTTCAAGTATACGTCTGATAACTTAGCAGCTGTGCCCACTCACAATAAATGTTCAATGGTTTTGAATGTTCATATGCATAGTCGCAAGGCACGTCTTTGCAAACGCATTGTGTTCTGTAAACCTGACTTTTTATTTACACGTTCTTTATCCTTTAAACATTCGAAATCAGGATAGGGTATACGGGTTAGAATGCCTACAAACTACTTAAATACTTTAATGGACTTATCTTCACCATATTTTGACATCATTAATTCATGCTACTGATAACATACCAGCTTAATGTGACAGTAGAGCTATCAATCCTTGGATGATATGTTAACTTTAGATCCGAATCATGAACTGTCTAAATGCAAGAAATACCAGAAAACAGCCATACACATATAGTGAAACAAAACAGTATGGCGCGGCATAACAGGAATTCGATCAAATCACATGCAGGATGTCGTTGATTTTGAAAATGTATTTATTTATTTATTTTCTTCTTGCATATTGCAATATACACGACATGATATTTTAACTAAACAGCACTCATGAAAAGCAACCACCACGTGGTGAGTGCTGGGTAACACTAATCACTCTTCCCCTGTGTGGACAGGGGGTAGAATGTGTCGTAAGCACCCCATTGCTTGTCATATGAGGCGACTAAATTGTGCAACCTGTTTGCCGTGGGTTGCGTCCCTGTGTCGGTGGAAGAAGGGATTGTGGTGGTTGAAGGCTCTGGAACCAGGAACAGGTGTTCCTTTTGCCCAATACACCACTTTGACCCTAATTTCACCTACACGGGTGGTAGAATGGGCTAGGTTTTATAATCGGCAGGTCATGCCGTGCCCTGTGCATGGTCAACGTCAATTTTTAATTATATAAATATATCATGCAGTAAATATGGTACATTATCGCATTCTGCACATATTACAACTTTATCCTCTGCCAGAAGGCGGTGGCTAAAGGGCCAATCTGGCATTGTTGACATCCAGGTTCTAATTGTCTTGTAATAACTGTATAGGGCAGAACCAACCTGAGTTTTATTCTGTTTGAAATTATTAGCTACCTGTGTTGGTGTTGCCAGAGTATAGCGCCCCTGTAGCCCTAGTGTATGTAGTTAGCTTCCACTGCAACACTGTCCTTGTTGACACTCATGTTACTTTAAATCATGATTTTACTTTGTGTTTGTATAACCACCACCGTACTCTCTCCGACTGTCTGATCTTCAGGCAATATATGACCGACTCATGTGTTATCATGGGAGATTTGAATGACCATAACCCACTTTGAGGTAGTAGTGACACCAACACTAAAGGCAAATTACTTGAGGATTTTTTCTTAAATACCGATTTGTGCATTTTAAATGATGGTCCTCACACTTATCTACATCCTGCAACTGGCACTTACTCATGTTTAGACCTGTCAGTTGTAGATTCTAATTTACTTAATGAATTTGAATGGTCAGTCCACGATGATCTCTTTAGAAGTGACTATCCTACCTTTTTACAGTCTGTGACACCTTCTGATGTTTTTCCATTATCAAGATGGAATTTTATTAAGGCAAACTGGGCTTTATATGAAGTCCTTTGCACTAATCAACTAAAACCTGATGGTTTTCTTGATGTTCCCGACTCAAAACATAATAAAAGAGCTGATGAATGTATTTTGAAGTTCTCCCGAAAATCCTCACATACGTACACCATGGTTCAGCAATGATTGCAAACTTGCTAGGAAGGGCAAGAAAAAAATCTGAACAATGTTTCCCTTGTCATCCTATGGTCACAATTTGAATAAGTATAAAATATTAAAGGCTAAAGTACGGCGTACATTTAAACAAAACAAGCGTTAGTCTTGGCAAAATTATGCCTCCAAGATAAATTCACATACACTGATATCTAAGGTATCGAACATTTGGTGTCCACCACCATCTGGTATGCAATTAGTAACCGATACTTCTGATATTGCTGATAAACTTGGTGAAACACTAGCTCAACATTCCTCCTCCTCTAACTATGTCCCTAAATTCCAAAAATATCAAAAGCAGCAAGAAATGAAACATATAAATGTTAATTCAGATTGGGGAAGATTACAATGAAATGCATTCCATTCCATTCATAAGCTCAATACTGCCCTTGGGCAAGCTCATGATACTGCTACAGCGTCTGGCAATATACATTATCAACTCTTAAAACATTTACCACAATACTGTTTAGAAACCCTCTTGAAGATGTTTGATAAATCTGGACGCCATGAGAATTTCCTTCTTCATGGCGTGATGCTATGATTGTTCCCATACCTAAGCCTGGACGTGATCATTTCATAGACTAGCTGCGTTTGCAAAACGATGGAACGCATGGTCAATAATAGATTAACATGGTACTTGGAATTAAATGATTTATTAACAAACATTCAATGTTTAGGGCTTCGTGATTAATCTGAACAAAATTTATTTAAAAATATAAATACAAATCCTACACATTGTTGCAAAAGATTCTTGATAATCACACACTGTAGGGACAATAACATTTGACTTTATTTAACCCTGAACAACACATCATTTTATTATACATTTATGAACCGCACTTATCCAGGTACTAGTATCTGCTCAAATACAGTTTATTTCTTCCCCGACCAGTAGATCCGTAAGCATTCCAGTTATCATTCTCAACTCCCTGGGGAGTATGCAAATCAAATTCCCGACTGGCGTTTTCACATCGACCTCACATATTGGGTATCCATTCCCTGGTGGGTGTACCTAGGCACATTTAAGTTGAGCCACTTGCCCAGGTTGACACTATACGTTTTGGACACTCGTGAAGAGCAACCTCCCCATGGTAAGTGCTGGGTAATACTAATAGCTCTTCCCCCGTGTGGACCCGTGGTAGAATGTGTCCTCAGCACCCCATTGCTTGTCGCAAAAGGCGACCGAATTGGGCAACCTGTTTGCCGTGGGTTGCGCCCCTGTGTCAGTGGAGGACGAGAATCTGGCGGTTGAGGCCGCTGGAGCCAGGAACCGGGTATTCCTTTGCCCAACACACAACTTTGACCCTTACTTCAACTAGACGGGTGGTAGTTTTGACACTTTGTCTCGGATGGATGAACGTATAGTGTTTCCCTAATTTGGTCATCCTCCACCGGATGAGTGGGATTTTGAGTGTACGGGGTGCACTAAGGATATCAACAACACTGTCAAGACAAATAGTATTTTACTCAAAACTTATTCGTCTCCTGGAGGAGATAGTCCTTGATCCAATAACAGCCAGCGCCACTATCATTCAATCCATCTGTCAATAAAGATCTGTAAGTATCATATGCGTTTCTTCATTATATAGGCGGCACAGGTGGCCCAGTCGTCTAAGGCGCCGCGATTTGCTGTGCAGAGTTGCGTTATATAAAATATACATCCAAAATCACTTTTGCGTTTGTTTTCTTTTAGATGCCACAAAATTGTAATTGAAGGTCAAAATAACATGCATACTTCGAAATATTTTTATCATACATTGACATTACTAATTCATTTGAATACCACTGATAACATATCATCTTAAGATGCGAAGAAACCTATCAAACTTGGGGTGGATACATGGTTAATATTAGAGAGCCAATAGCCACCATTGTTCTCCTTACCCTCATCGACGCTAGTTCTAATCGACTTGGCCTCACGCTATAATTTGAACAACCTGAAATCCCCGAACCAGGGCCGTCAGTTGTGTATCTCGTATACATCTTTCAGCATGGCAATTAAGAGATGGACGCTTAACATCCGTCACCTGTTAGCAGCTTGCTTGGTATTCGGACAGCTGGTAAATTCAATAAGCTTCATGAACATTGGCATCAAGTTATGTCAATACAAGTGTATACAGTATGGCTGTCGTGGTATTCGATACAGCATTGAGGATCTAACTTGTCACCTATCAGAAATGGACTCAGAAGTGTTTATGAAAGAGACCGGACACTTCATTGGACCTACGCATCTTTCAAATGTAAGATTTGTACACAATGCCTACAATCATCTGCTTTCGTAACATGACAAATTGTGCACAGTGATGTGTAGGATGACCAACAAAGAAAAGTGCATAGCAGTATCACTGCACCATATATATGAAAGCGAAGTGAAGGTCTTACGATAAACAAACCATTTTCATATCTATCATGTTCCATGGGCTAAAACAGTTTTCTATATGCTGCCATTCACTACTGGAAAAAGACTGCTATCTGACTACTATTGCGCTTGTAAATTCAAAGAAGCTTCATGTGAATATTTTTGGTAAGATGTCGGTTCGAATCCTCTTTTGCCCCCGTTAAGTTTTGGGGGCATGGGTGACTCAGTCGTCTCAGGCGCCGCAATTCGCTGTTCACAGTTGCGTCCATTGGGCATGCAAGAAGCCTTTGTTTGTGGGTTCAAATCATTAGCATCTCTGATAACTGCCCTTCCATATTAAACTGACAAGGCGCGAGTCAACTGAACAATAATTCAAGCAGTGTTAGATCCAATTCATTTCCTGATTTTACACAATTTATGATAGTCGAAATTACACAGTGTAATTACTTACTTAACTTACTTAATCCCGAATGTCCCCTAACATCTGTTTTCAGGTCCGAGCAGGCGTCTGTGCATTCAACATTTGTGAAGGGAGGAGATGCCTGGAGACTCGTGCTGGAAAGACTGCCTGTGTCAAAGGTACCTACGCTGCAAGAGGCGAATATTTTTGTGGTAAGAGGCAACTAATGGGACCGGGTGGTTAGGCTCCCTGATTTGGTTGATGCATGTCATCGTATCTCAATTGCGTAGATCGCTGCTCATGATGTCTATCACTTGATTGTCTGGTCCATTTACAGACCATAAATATGGAATATGGAATATTGCTGAGTGCGGCATAAAACAATCAAAGTTACTTACCAACATTTATTGTTAAACATTAATGAGTAACATGCGAAAAGTAAAAATCTAAACCTTGTGTCATGTCTGCATGTCATTTTCCAGGGGGACATAATCAAGCACAACGACAGACCACTGTTATCACTACTCTCATCGATGCCTGCACCGTTGGAGACCTGCCTAAAGTAACATACATATTGTCTCAAGATATTGCAAACCTCAATAAAAGTGGGAAGAATGGTATGACACCAGCGATGATAGCAGCACAGAAAGGACACAGAGAGATACTTGAATTACTTGTGAAGAAAGGTGCTGATCTGTGTCTATTAGATGATGATGACAACACTATCTTACACGTAGCCTGTAAAGAGGGAAACGTTGAGATAGTGAAGTATATCCACTCACAGAACATCATTGACACTGAAAGTAGAGGGGACTACGGGAATACACCAGTGATGTTTGCTGCACTATATAGACAGATGGAAGTGTTTTTTTTTCTTGTGAAAATGGGAGCTCATCTATCAAAATTGGATGATGACGGTGAGAATATCCTTCATCTTTCCAGTCGAGGAGGAGATGTAGAGATAGTGAATTGTATCCTCAAACGAAACGTTGTGGACATAAACAGTGAAGGGGATGACGGGGTGACACCATTGATGCTGGCAGCATATTTTAGGAGAAGACAAGTGTTTTACCTTCTCATAGAACGAGGAGCTAATACATCAGCAGTGGATTGTGATAATGATAATATCCTCCATTATTCCTGTCGAGGAGGAGATGTAGAGATAGTGAATTATGTCCTCACACACAAAATTGTCAATATAAACAGTAGAACGAACGCCTTGGAGACACCAGTGCTTGTGGCAGCACTGAGAGGGAAGACCAAAGTGTTTCAGTTATTGATAGAAAGAGGAGCTGATATCGCAAAAACACATGACAGGACGAAACTCCTTAAATTTGCCTGTAAAATTGGAGATGCTAATATAGTGAAGCGTGTCCTCAACCTAGCCAAGGTGGACATTGCTGTATGTAGCACTCTTGGGGCACACTGAAGTGTTTAAATTACTGGTAAGGAAAGGAGCCGATGTGACAAAGGTAGATGATTATAAGGAAAATATTCTTCATCGTTCCTGTAAAAAAGGAAATTTGGAGATCGTGAGATATGTCCTCACACAAAACATTGGCCTGTCGAGAAGGAAATGAGGACATAGTGAAATATGTGTTGTCACATGGCATGGTAGATATAACTGCAATAAATAAGAAGAAATTAAATGCGGCCATGATAGCTAGGAAACGTGGTTACTTATCAATAACAACACTACTGTCACAAGTCTCTCAAGGGAAGTAATATCACAATAACAGTGATCATTAATAACCTCTGAGAAAGGACACATGTGAAATAATAGTACACAGTTAATTTAGAATGCACTGTGGTTCATTGTTGCATGAGTAAAGTAAATATTATTTAAAGTAAGACAAGTTCTATGGATGAACAACTTCTTTATTACAATTAGTGCGACGTGTAGATTCTAACACCTTTATCAAGCAAGTGATTGATAGTGCTTACTAACTTCCTAACTTACTTTGGAGATGTAACGTGCGCTTTCCGACTGATGCGTATTTCGCACACGGCCCGGCCAGGCCATTTTATGTGTTTCCGAAAGGGGCGGAAGTGGTCTGTGCAACCCAAGAGGGGGCTTTAGGGGATGCTTATATAGAATTTGGGAATTTTGAGATTTGGAATAGATGCCGATGGGGTTGGGGAGGAGAACTAAGGCTGCTGGGTATGGTGGATGTTTGTTTGTTTATGTGATTTTGATTTGGTAGGTTGACTAATGGGACAGGGTATACAACCACGGAAGCTGATTGGGATGATTGGAAGCCAGCGGATTAGAAGCAGTGATTTGTCTTATGGACACAGCAAGCAGTCTGGTAGAGATGATTGGAAGCCAGTGGATTAATTGGATGGACATAGGGTTTTAGCAATTAGGTGATGGTAAGCAGGCGGGACGTAGTAGCCTTGATCTCTGGCTGGATCCTTTTGATGTAGATGGCTTCTAGGAGTTTCCTGATTTTGTAGTCTGACTGATTGTTGGCCAGGATCTTGATGCTGTTCCACTGGATGTTGTGGTCGGAGTGGGTTTTGGTGTGGTCGGAGATGGCTGATTTTCAGTCATTTTGTTACTGAGGTCTTGTGCTCTTTTATTCTAATGGGTAGGGGCCTAGATGCCTTAACATTGACAATATGTTAGATATTGTTCAAAGCATTATGAATAGTATCAGGTAACTTCAACTCATAAAATCTATAGATATGGTCACTTTATGTACTCTCCCGGAAAAGAAGGGAATATTTAAAGAGTGAGTTAAAGTTTAACGTCACATCGGCAATATTTCAGCCATATCGTGACGAAACAAAATTTGATATGAACAATATATATTAAACTGTATAAAATTCTGCTGACAAAGAGCAGTACAATAACTAGAACATCACAGAATTTCGTAAAACTAGTTTGAGAACAAGTAAAACTAGTTTGAGAACAAGTAAAACTAGATAACTAACAAATTATTTAACAACACATTATAAAAACAGGCTATAGATCGCCACCAACTGAAGGTTGATCACCGCGCTGGGGACCATGGGGACTTACAGTACTTTTGCTACCTGCATGGACCCCAGTCGGATTTACATCATCCCTTCAGTTGTTGACGATGACTGACAAATTTAGCCAAACAGTAAAATAACACATATACTACTATTAAAAACGTGGAAGAAATAAATATACCTTGAAAGACCTGGTCTTACATACCCTCTCAGGGGGACAATAATTTTACACTACTTTAACCCCCTTCGAGGATATAGCCACTAAAAATCTCAGTTATTAATTTATTCAACCAATTATAAAATGCATTTATTTAGATACAAAACATAATAATCAAAACTTATGGAGTAATTCAATTTCCTTTAAAAAGGCAATAATTAAATGAGAACTAATAGTGTTAAAAAGATCCTTCATAGATTTAACCTTGAAATACTTATCCCTTGTGATGGAAAAATCAACACAGTCAAGCAGGACATGCCTGACTGATATTCGTTCATCACAAGGGATGCAGAATGGGAATATTTAAAGAGATGATTATATAAATACAACGATGTATCCAGTGATGGTAATAATAGTGGACTGACCAGGTATTCTAAGGATTTGTGATGACTTGATTGATATTGAATGATACCCCTACGATTGGTCAAATATTCATTACTACGCCATAACATGGTGCGAAGCAATGTGCCAAATGAGAGAGGGAGTATTGACCATTCCTTACAGTTGTTGTTGTTGTATTTGTTGGTAGCACGTTTCGGTAATATACAAGTGTTATTAAAGTGTGCGATTGGGAACCAGGGGTAAAATGTGTCCTCAAGTGTACAATCTGCCACGCTTTGAGCACCTCTGTCGTTGGAGAAGAAAAATCTGGTAGTTGAGTGTACTTGTTCCAGGAACACATCACTTCAAGCCTTACTAGAATTATTCTAGTTCGATAAATTTGCTGGTGACCATGTCCTACATATATTGTATGAACATATGTGATGGAATATTTTTGAAAAAGCTATACATGTTTAGTCTTCACCGATTGGTATGTTATATGTACGTCGAATAATAAATATTATTATATCAATATCGGAATGAATCTCATTGCAGTGTCAGGCAGATTAATTGCCTGAAAAGGGTGACCCTTTGACTTACCTACCCTATACAAGACTTCAATTCACTGCACTCTATGCTTATTTTTCGAATAATGTTCTTCTTAAGTCAACTTTTGTTCAAAATTCATTCATATCAATTTCTAGTCCTCTGTGATATAGTTTATATCAATTATACATGTAAGCAATACACACCACACGAAGGGACAGCATTTCTCAAACATATGCATTCTAGGAAATGAATGTGTTATGCCCATTGAAATGCACTTCCGATCCCCCATTTCTAGACCTATACAAATCCACCCAGATCGGATAACATTCATTCGTTGCTACCACATGCCAAGATTGACAAGAAATCAGAAACACCAAGCCCTTGGACGATTGCAAGCTGGACAAACCGCCTGGCAAGTAGCCAATGCATTTTGAATCCACGTTAGGACCGTATACAGGCTCCACCACCACTAAAGATGACGGACCGCGTAGTGGAAGACCAAGGGTCACCATCCGACGTCAGGATCGTCAAATTGTGTGACATTATCTTCAACAAAGATCGCTTTGTTTCTGTTGCAGAAACTGCTCGACAGACCATGGGGCACACTAGCTACACATTATTGCAAACACAGTGTATCGACGATTGACGAGCAGACACCAGAACACCAGAATTGGCGCCACAAGCAGTGTCCTCTTCTCAAACCAGAACCGTACCTGTATCTCAACAGCAGATGGCAGGGAGAGAGTCTGGCGACACCGTGGGGAACGTTATTCGGATGCTTGTGTTTTGAGAGACTCGTGGGGTGGTCCGAGCGTCTTGGTCTTGGGTGGAATTTGGTCGGCCCTGTGGTCTTCCAGAACATGGGTCCGGGGAGAGGCAATGGTGTCACAGCAGCTCGGTACATCAATCAAGTCTTGAGACCACACGCCTCATTTGGCACGTCGCCGCAACCACGAGTTTCAGCAGGATAACGCCCATGCCCACACTGCGAGAGCAACAAGAGACTTCATCCAATAGAATGCCATCAGAACCATGCACGGCAGTCATCAATGGACATGACAGACACACACGATGCTGACTTGTGATGCCATTTTCTCAGAGACTAGTGTTGTGTTTCACTTTAAGAATATTTGACACTTTAATTTCAACCTTGATGATCAGTTTTGCCAAGGTTCATCCTTTTAATATGTCTCAGAGTATGTTTTCAGTGTTTGAACAAATAAGGTTTCTCATCTATCTATCCAAGGTGACGTTTCTTGTGCGGTTCAGTATAGATGAGATGTGTAAATATGCCCATCGTTTTCTTGTATTTCCTAACGTGTGAAATAATCGTAAATGTAGTTCTTAGATTTTACATATTTCATTATCCTTGAAATCGTGCATGACAAGGTTAGATTTATCCTATTTCTTCAAACGCTCCTAAATGTTCTGTCACAGGTGAGTGGAGAATTACCATATTGGCAAAGAACAATCTTTATTTCAGTGGTTTGGTAAGATAACTGTAATATTCTCGTTAGGGAGCCATATGGCGAGAGGGATCGTTTTAAACCACTGACCATTTGAAGTTTCCTGTGTGGGTTGAGTAATGTCTGATCCTGACTTGATTATTTACATACCGCCGTGATGTACCTGGAATATTGCTGAGTAACACAACAAAATGCAATGAAATGCTATCAGGTTGCAGGTACACACTGGCGTACAGGGAGTATAATGTAAACGTGAATATGACGTGACAAGTTAAACATGCTAAACGTGTGAGTTCACTCCCCTCACGTGTATGTGCATGAGGTTTACGTTTTGAACTTGTACTTTATATAATCGTAAGACTGGCGTTATTAACAGCTATGTTTGGTTAAAAAAAATGAAAGAGTAGTCCGTATATCCGTTTTAACACATCGAAATAGAAATAATAGTCTTTTAGCATATTTAAACTACAAAATACCACAGCAACTGGTAAGCTCAGGGACACAGTCCCCGCTACAGTATTTAACTATTTAAAATACACTGCGAGGTGTATTTTAAGTCTATCTGAATTAGTCACACGTTTAACAGGTTTTCGCTACCAGTTGCCAAACCACATGATTGACTCATCAACATCCAATGTTATTCTTAAAACGTCGGTAACAGAGTACGGCTAGGGTGGTCACAATCCTGTGCTCTTTCTAAGTTATAGTTATGATTTAGTTGAAATTGATAATGCCAGAAATAAGCAAGAGGTCATGTTTTTGAAGATGAGGTTTATGCAACGATGGATGATCATTAACGGAACACTTGGGCCTGGCTTCTACCCCGTTATGTCATTTGTGAGAGAGTCACAATTTAGAGTCACATCTGCAATGTTTCGGGCATATAGTGACTTAAAC